CCGACGCCCACCCCAATCCACTCTCACCCCCGAGATCGATAAATATACTGGGATTGAGTTCCAAATCGTGATCAACAATAAAGCTAATAATAAAATCACAAGGGTCACCAGGGAGCATTTACTCGATCCAGATTATCATCGCTAGTGATGCAGAAAGCGCTCCACATCCTCTGTAACTAGCTGCCACTGTCTGTAAGAAGTCTCCAGGTGCTGGTAGACAGTTCTTCGGCAAATCTGGCTTTGAGATCGGCCCTTTGATTACGTCTGCAGTTCTCCATTCATGTGGAACTGAATCTGGTACGTTCGACAGAGATTTTTGGGTCCAAGTCGCGATGATGTGCTGCCACTCAGACTCAGCGGGGTTCCAAATGTTGAGGTCGCGGAAATCCGTGTCTTTGAAGACCAACAAAGCACTATTAACGGAACCAAATCTCAAGACCCATTCTAGGGAATCGGATGTATAAATGCCGGGCCCCAACTCATTGTCTAGGTTTTTGCTGTGAACTACAGGAGCGAAAAAGGCCATCAGTGCTGCTAAAGCGGCCCGAGTAGACACTCGGTACAAGAATGAGCTGCTCCCGAGTTTCCTAATGTAGTCTTTAAGGATCTTCGCGGCTAGGCGGTCCTTGTTTTTGTCGCACTTAACTCGAACTGTGGCAATATCATTTGGAAGACATTGCGGCCTGTAGCCGGGAAATACCTCCCCCAGTCTATGGCAAGCGTATTGGTATCCGACTTGTGTGGGAATGGGATCGAGGCGGATTGGCATAACCACCACTGGAGGTCGATGGTTTCCAAAGAAGTACCGTTCATACATCGGTCCAGGAAGCTTGCCTTCCTCGTAAACATGATCCAAGATCCAAGTCACTCCAACATTTGTTGGGATCAGTCGGACCTCATCTTCCAGGGCAACTGCCGGGTCGAATACCGCTTCCACCAGCTCGTCCAAACCCGCCAGCCAAAAAAGGCTACTCAAAGGGCCAATCAGCTCATCAAATCCTGAACTCAAGTCAGTGAAAAAATCCTCTACCTTTTGCCAAAATAGATACAAGTCTCCTTACGGTAGCTGTTTGAATCTATATACTCTGCTATATCGTCGGGGATTCTCCCCGGATACCCGTGCTCTCTTGACCATACCGGGCGAAAGCCTGCTTCTGCTAACTCACTCATCGTACGAGCGAGTTGGTTTCGATTTCCCTCCATATCAGAAGGGTTTCCTAGCTTGTCTTTGTAGATAGTAGGTGTTGTGAGAGATGTGGGGCTCGATTAGCCGATGACGAACTTGTACTTGAGTACGTGAGGGATGAGAGGGAGGAAATTGAAGGCACAGAGTCTGTCGGACTTATCGGGGTTGAGGTGATCGGGCTGGTTGCCGCAATAGGCAGCGGAAAGTTTTGCTTTGGATCCATGGCTTGATCATGTAAATTGGATTGATTGTAAGGACTTGCAAGGAGTTGAATTGGTTTACACAAATTCCACTCTAATATTCTTGGATACATATAAGCTTCGCTCTTGCCAAAGGCAATGGCACTTGCCATTATTTCTTCATCTTGGGATTGGGTGCAAATAGAACGAGGTTAGGAAACTACATACTCGAATGCCAAGATGGATCTTGGCCCAATTTGGTAGAAAGTTACCTGGGGATTTTGACGACACATGCGAGTCATGGAAAGACTCCGCTCCCTAAACAGGAATCAAAGGACTATTAAAATGGGTTCTGTAAAGTCTACTGTATGGATCTCAATCAGACCGGAATAGCAGCGATAATTCCCGCCGGTTTTCTTCTCCCAGCACAACAGAAAGCAAAAGAACTCCACAAAAAGGAGAAAGCGCTATATCTGAGCCATTGGTTGCGAGAAGAAGAGGTTGAACAGAACACAATCAAGCCATGCTTCTGCGCGGGAATGTACAAAGCACAGAAGAAAAAAAGACGTTCTCAGCGATGATCAAGTGGATTATATCTCCGGAACCCTCCTACAAGCCGGCTCAGACACTACATCGAGCACATTATACGCCTTAGTTCAGGCCATGCTACTACACCCCGATATTCAACGAAAAGCCCAAGAAGAGATAGAAAGGGTGGTTGGGTTCAGGTCGCTTACCGGCTATAGACGACCCCTGTCCGAACTACAGTACAGTAAGAGGCTGCATGAAACACACGACACACTCCGCTGGATGCCGATGAGCATTCTCGGAGCCGCCGTTCCGCACGCAGTTACACAAGACGACGAGCACAAATGGTACATAGTACCAAAAGGGGCTTTATACCAAAGCGGGCAGAGGTGATGAACAACGTGTGGGGCATCCACATGGACCCGGCTCGTCATCCCAGTCCGCGAACAGTCAATCCCGATCGGTACCACGACTATTATCAGGGCAGCGACGAACCCGGATCCGCGGAAACAGGATATGTTCACCTTTGCCGGCCGTCGTGTCCCGACATCCATTTTGCCGAGCGTAGTTTGTTCCTTGGCATGCCGCGCATTCGGTGGGGGTTCGACATTGCGCTGGAAACTGATGACGCGGGAAGTCCGATTTTGCCTGATCCTGATCGCTTGACGCAAGGTTTTGTGTATATGCCTGAAGAATTCCCGAGGATTACGCCGATGTCGAAGGAGAGAGCGGATTTGGTCATGAGTGAGTGGAAACAGGCGGAGGAAGAGCGTCTCGATCCAAAGACAAGACAGCAGGCGTAGCAACCCGTGGATGGCGGATACACGAGTCGATGAATGGAATGACTGCTTGCTGTGTTATTCACGTATCTGCGGTGCTGGGTTAGGTCTGACAAGAAGATAATTGCACATCGACGATGTTGACTGGATAGCAAATATAATTCAAATGTCATCAGACTAAAGCGGGCTGGCAACCAAAGGATATAAAGACTGTATCACACAAGATATACATCCTGCGTGAAAGCACTCCTATCACCGTAAGGACTGGAAAAATTTGATAGAGCTTGGTGTCCGTGCAACCCGGATCCTGCACATGAAACGAGACGAAAATGTGCGGGATTATACCTCATTGTCCGAGTCGAGATACAGATTCTGGGTTCAGACCTCGGCCAAACCTACAGCCTAAAGATCCTGGTCAGCATGGAGCGAAACCCGGACGGATGTGATTGTATGTCATCGAAAGAAACGCCGAATCCAAAGATGTTGCGATATGCGTTAATGCTGAGGCGCTAACTCTACATTAGTTAAATAGTCGGTGTAACTATATTTTAGTAGCAACTATGCGGTGAAACGAGAGACCCGAAGAGGGTATTAACGCCGCCATATAATACCCGATCTGGACCAGGGGGCACGAGACGTTGATATGAGCCATATAACTCAGCGAACGGGGTGCTTTTCCTGCGCACGTACGCCCAAGCAATCCTTGCGACGTTGAAAATATTGCTCGTTCAGGGGGAAATGCTGGAATACTAATATAAATAGTCAACCGCACCTAGCTGGTCTTCTTGAGACTCCTAGCTTCATATTCTCTTGATATACTAACCTGCGATCGAGTCAACGCGAGTATCGAATGTCACACAAGCGATCGCAGGCATCATTAGTACAGGTCGAGATAATCATGGCCGAACTCCTGCCTTGGGATACGGTCTTGCCTTCCAGGCATTTGGGGGATTATGAGAATTCAAAGATTTGTGGACCGTTGCCTAGTTGACAGATGCGTCTGAGATCGACTGAGTCCATTATGGCAAGATAGTCATTATCCCCGAGTCTGAGAAGAGTATAATCTGTTTGAGTCCTTCGCTGATTTGGAACCAGAGATGTCTGTTGAAGGCTACCCCTTGAAATGCTGAAATCCAACTGCTTTTTTTCCCCTCTGACGAAATAGGCGATCCGGTTGCACAGAAAAAGGAGAAAAACGAGAGAAGGCCAACGCACTTCCCGTGTACCGCGTGACCCAACAGGCGCCAGAATTATTTCCAAACCGAGAAACGATCCCGCAGAGGAAACCAGTGGAAAGGAAAAATGCCTCAGGATATAAATGGCGCATACTGCATGTACTGTGGGGCAGCGGTGAGATCCTCTCGGGCCGTTATGATTGGTGTGAGAGTGACACCTGAAAGGAGCTTGATTCTCTCTAACTTTTCCCCTTTTTTCCTTGGTCTTTTTGAGGAGGGAAAAAAGAGAAAAAAAAGATGCAAAAGTGTAGAAATTGAAGGAAAAGGTGACAGAAAAGGTTCGAGTATATATAATATTATTTACTGCACAGAGAAGGAGATATGAAACATTCCTAGGTTATTGCGGTTAATGGGAAATCAAACAAATAAAACAGCACAGCCACCTCCAGATGCGGTCTTTCCTCTTGGTCTACGATTTCGCCAGCCCCATGGTGGTACGGGCGTTTCGATTGCCGAGTGGGTGAGTTCAGATCCACGTGAAAAAGGGCTGTGGGAAAATCCATGGAATTATGAGGCATTTCTAAGGTACGGTAGTATTTGGGAAATTGGGAATGGAGAATTTCCCGTATCAATTTACCAATATATTGGACTGGAACTACTCCAACTGACGAAAATCCCTCATAACTACATGTATGTATAGTATGGGGTACAGATTTCCCTTAGTCCTAGGTACAACTATATAGCACATGTACTTCCAACCGTTTTACCCTTTCTGGCATTTTCTGTCGGAGACCCACGTCCGGGACAAAAGTACCGCATAGTAAGATGAAACTATGGCCCAAGCTCCAGTCAAAATGCATCAAAAAGATACCCTGAAAGAGCCACAAAGCCACAAAGTACATCCTCTGATGCACAAGCCAGTCCTAGTCGATCCTGTGGCTGTGGTCGAATCATAGGGTTGATTTTTCGCGGCACACAGTAAACATGGATATTCCGAGGTAATAGGAAATGTAATGAGAAAAGAGAAAAAAAAGAAAAGGAAAATTTGTGTCATAGCTCTCAATATCCCGGTTGACCCCTCCTACACAGGACGATCTTAGAAAAAGGTATATAAGCCCATCCCCGTCCACACCATGACCTCTCATCTTAAGGAATGCTTATCGACGGTCAAAAGTGGGCGTGCGAAGCTTGTATACGGGGCCACCGTGTGACCAGCTGCAAACATCATGGTTAGTACCTAGACAACTTGCAACTCCCCTTTTCTTTTCCCATACCTCGCTGGTATACTAGCCTACTATACTCCCCAACACCTCCATTTCTCTAACTACAAAGCTGTTAAACTGACCTTGACAAAAACCAAGATCGACCGTTGATTCGCATCAAGCGTAAAGGCCGACCATTCGCAACATGTACAATGTGCAATGCAACGCCGTGCACATCTCCAATCGAGCACGCACGCGCAAAGCGTGATGCAGAGCTCAAATGTCCAAAAGTAACGCAAACACAAAACACAGCCAAAAAAAACGGAATCCATATCTTCGGCGATATGGAAGAAGAGAAATTGCAAACGCCATGGTACTGATTGGTGTTTGCTCTTTTTCTAGAAATCCTCGAGCGGAAGAATCCATCGGCAAAATCCGAACGGGTTCCTTCCCATTGCCCCACGTCCGGGTCCGTCGGGGTCGATTTCAGGTTCTGTGAAGCCTGTCTCAACGGCGGTGACAAAGTCGAAGTCTAGGTCCGGGTCGAAGTCTAGGTCCGGGTCAAAGTCCGGCTGTTCGACCTCGTCGGCTTCGTCGCCCGGCAAGACACCTGTCTATGATGCGGTTGGGGGAGGAGATTGGTCGGGCTCCGAGGGCTCGGGCTCGATATCTAGGATCGAATCATCATCATCGAGACATACAGTGTCTTTCTCTGGGTCGGCGGTGCCGGTTTTAGGCTCGGGTCGGACACTCAGCGCGGAGCACGGTGGTTCTCTTTCGCATTCTGCGCCCGGATCGTTGTATGAGTATCCTGTTTCATCGGATGAGACCGCAGCTGCGGCCTTGTTCGATCCTGCGTATTCGCTCCAGCCTTCTGCGCTGGCTGTTTCGGGTTCCCAGCCCGCGCAGACCTTGCCCATGGTTAGTCCGCTTGAAGGGGTTCCCCCCTTTGACTTCTCGCTGGACCCTGCCCTGGAATTGGGTGATAGCACCTTAGGATATTTGGATGGGGTGGACATGAACATGGATTTGGACTTGCCGGCTATGGAGGAAATGTTCCATGTGGAGGATTGGTCTAGGTATATGTGGTCGGCTGAGACAGGGTTTGAGCATTTGGATACCGGATTCCCACCTGTGTCGCAATAACATGAGGGGTCCGGGCTGCGAACCTGGTCAACAACTCGCATGATGATTGATGATTATGATTGTATCTCTTGGAAGAGATTGAAGACGTACATACAAAATGGAAGAGTGGAAGCGTCGGCTCCGGTGCTGTTTATGATATCATTTGCCTCTGCGCTGCCACCTACAATTGGAACAATTCTGACTTTGTTGTGGATTCAATGGAAACAACGTATCCTATGCTCTATCCGAGACTCGCGAATGGATGCCAAGCACGAATGCCCCCAATGCTCCTTGCTGATGTAAAATAATGACGGAACGGCACTGATGACGCCGACTATACAGGAGAATGAAACAAAACCCAACAGAAAGCAGGCTTGGACCTCATGAGGGCCCAAACAGGCAAGTGTCAACCGTCCTCAAAGAGAACGTACAGGCCAGTGGGTACAACCTAGAGGTCCCAACCTACACCTCCTGGATGTAGTTCGCGGGAACGCTCTTCGTAACACCACCCCGTTCGACGTCGGCCCATCCATCACCACTATCCCGGTTGATGAGCACAAAGCGGTCACCCTCAGCCATATTCCACTCCATATCGCTGCGAGCTTCGTACTCGTATAATGCCTCGACATATTGCAGTTTCTTGGCTCCTCGTCTGGGCGCGACGGCTGGTCCGACACGCTTCGGCGCAGCACTTCCTGCCAGGGATGCCGAGGAATTTGAGTACGTTGACCCAGGTCGCTCAGGCTTACTGGGACTAGCGGATGGCACGGGAGATGGTGTTGGGGCAGCTTCGACATATGAGGCCGGAACGAGTCCTTCGTTGGCTCCCGAGCGCACACGCATCCATCCAGAACCATCTGTGCAATTGTTAACAAATGGATGTAAACCGTAGGATAAGAGGACGTACCATCTGGTTGAAGTATCACCACTTCATCCCCATCTTCCACGCTGACCTCGTCTGAGCCGGTTGCTTGATACGCGTACAGCATCTTGCCTCGTGGCTCTTTGGATCTCGGGCTCATGCCAGAGTCGCTCGGCGGAGGTGCAGTCATGTATGCTGTCGGAGGTGGTGCTAGCACCCGGTTCCTCCTTGGGGCAGCGGCAGCTGGCTTTGTCTCTGCAACGGGAGCTGGAGGCTCCTCTGCTGGGCTTTCTGCTGTGGGCTGAGCAGCAATGTTTGATGACGATCTAGCCGTACTGGCCGCATATCCTGAGCTAAGAGAGTTCATTGTATTTTGTCGCGTCAGGGACGGGGTGGCAGTAGAAGCTGCAGGGGTGCCGATGTCGACAGCAGGCATGGCACCAGCCTGTTCCTGTCGCAACGTCTTGAGTTTCTTCTTGTCTTCCTTGGTTTGCTCGCCCGGGCACTCCGCGGGCACCTTCATTTGGCATTTACTATGGCAGGTGTAACCACAATCTCGACAATCAAAGCCCTTGGCGGACAGGCCCCAGATTCGCTCGCCGCAGAGATCGCAATTCGTCGGGATCTTGAATGTCTGAGAGCGGAAATTGTGGTTCTGGGCTCCCAACGACAAATCTCCAGCCACTGCCATGATAGTCGCGGTCTCTACCTCGGCTGTAACCCATTTGCGATCAACCTCGTGCAGGGATTCTTGAATGTAGAAGATGGACCGCACAACATCTAACTCGTTTCGATTATCTTTGCCATGCTGAATATTTTCCCGTACTTTCTTGCTTCCTTCAACCTCACGCTTCTTCCGGTCCGACTCAACTCGTAGTTCGCGGATTTGAGTTTTGCTCTTACTGAGGACATTGCGCAGGAAGACCTTGGCTGCCTCATCGGCGATGATTGAAGCGTCGTCGTGCCATACTGGACTCGGCTCAAATGCTAGGTTTGCAGGTTCCTGCGATTGAGTCACATTGTGCTGGAGGAACATCATGGAGTCCAGGTGCGGGTTGTTGCGAGGAATTTCGACAAGAAGATTAGCCATATGCTCCGTGCTATTTGAAAGAGATGACTTTTCAAGTTGGGCGGCGAGCGACCACATCAAGTTCATCTTTGCGACTCGTGTTTCATTGAGGTTTTGTAAGCCCTTGCCGGAAGTATGAGTACAATTGCTCCAGGGTATGGGTTGTGGCAGGTTCATCTTACATCGATCACCTCAGGGACATATTCATGGTAAAATTTCTCCTTGAGCTTATTTGTAACATTGATGCTGATGAGATAGAGGTTCTACCCGCAAGTTAGCATCAGGACACGGGGTTATCAGTTGAATGAGCCATGCCTTATAGTTGTTCATCTCCAGTATTTGTTGTTGATATGCTGTTTGTGCTTTGCCCTTGCCATGGTCAAAAGCGGACTCCATTTTCTTTCTGCGAGATTCAACCTCCTGGCACGCGCCATCGTATTTGCCCTTAGCTTTTTTGAGGTCGCCGTATGCTGCCTCCCGTTCCTTTTCTAACTTTCCATGATATTCAACGTGGCATTTGCGAATCTCTTCATATTGGGTGGCAGCTTGTTTCAGAGGATCCGCCACTTGCACTACCAATTCTGAGGCAAATTTGTCTCGTTCGGCCGCGTGAGCTTCCACAGCGTTCAATTGTGTAGTCCATGTAGTGAGCGATGCGCTTTCGAGGGAGCCGGGGGTTAAGGTGGGTGTATCGCCTACACTCAAAGGGCTGATCTTCTTCGACTTGCGGTCATAGTACTTCTTGCAGAGGGCCGTTAACTTGGATGCGTACTCCTTCTCAATTGCACTGCGCTCGCGGTAGAATTGGTGTATCTCGTCTACCCATGATATACCATTTGATACCTGTGTAACATATTTGCATTAGCTCCACTTCAAGCACACAGGATGATCTGACGGGATGGTTGCGGGGAAACGATGTCTGGATCATACCCAACTGTTAACTGGTTTGAAGGAATCCTAGATAAATTATATCCAGTTAGCTATATATCTGCGACCATCACCATACGGTATCCATACCTTTAACTCTGCTCCAAATTGGGGAGCGACGTCTGCGGCCGCCATGGCTGGATTGAGATCCCAAGGCAGACGCGCATGGGACGGCGCGGGAATGGAAGACCGAACGATGGAGAGCGGGTTGCCTGGTTTCAGCGCTACCCGTCAATGAGCCACTCGTGTGGTATCAGTCAAAATAGTCAACGTCTCCAACTAGGCAGTGTCCAATGGGCTAATAAGGCCATCCAGACAGGAAGAATGAGCTCAATGGCCAAGGCGGGGAGAAGGCCGGTCCCTGTGACAATACCAAACATACATGTTGCTGGTAGGCGATATGTGTCTTGCCCATCTATTACAATACCATTACACTTATTTCGCTTTGACTCAATTCGGACTAGTTCCTATCCTTCGGCGTCATCTGTTTTTGCTCTTCCATTCAGAGAGCTATTGGATTTTTGGCTATTGCTCTTCTCTCCTTGGGTGCTTGGATTTCTGATTTCCTCCATTCTTCCTGAGGACTAGCTGAAGTCATCCTCAGCTAGCGCCACCTTAACCCCCCAATCGTGCGCTCAGCCATCTTAATCCATTTCGAACTTTTCTTTACCCCACGACCACCCCTCCACACCTTTCCTTCCTTATCCAACTCTCTCGATATACCCCCAGACTTTTGCACAATGTCTGATAATCTAGAGACCACCCCTGCTGCGGGCTCCTTGGCTGACCGTATCACCAAACCTGACGAGTCGAAGCCCACCGGTACGAAACGAAACCACGCCACCCGTCGCTGATTCCTCCAGTCCAACGACCGGAAAACGCGCGCTACCCCGCCTGATAGCTAATATATTTTTCTTTGATTTAACAGATACCTCCAATGTCTCTACCGCTCCCAAGGAGGACGGAGCCTCTGCCCCTGCGCAGGGTTCGGCAAATCTCGAGGAGCCCGACTACACTGTCGCGGTGAAATTGAGTGATTTGCAAGCGGATCCCAATAACCCCCTGTTCTCAGTCAAGAGCTTTGAAGATCTGGGCCTGTGAGTGCTATTCACCAATACGCTGTGCGAATGAGCGCCTCGAAGCTAACTTGATTGACACCTCAGAGATGCGCGCATTCTGAAAGGTCTCTCGACAATGAACTTCCGCAAGCCGTCCAAGGTCCAGGAGCGCGCTCTTCCCCTTCTGATGAGCAACCCTCCGAAGAATTTGGTTGGTCAATCGCAGTCCGGTACCGGCAAAACCGCAGCCTTCGTCCTCAACATCCTCAGTCGTCTCGACCTCTCGACGGAGCAGTTGCAGATGACACCTCAAGCTCTGATCCTCGCTCCTACCCGCGAATTGGCTCGCCAGATAGTCGGCGTGATCCAGATTATGGGTCAGTTCCTTGATGGTCTCATCATCGGCACTGCTGTTCCTGCCGATTCCAACGCTCGCCCGTCGAAGATGGATTGCTCAGTTGTCGTTGGCACGCCTGGTACTGTTCAAGATATGATCAAGAAGCGTATTATGACCCCTACCGGCTTGAAGGTGCTTGTCCTGGATGAGGCGGATAACATGCTTGACCAACAAGGCCTGGGAGACCAGTGCATTCGGGCCAAGGCGTAAGTACTTTTAGACCTCAGCACTCAAAGCTTTCGGCTAATAGTTTTCCCTGGGTAGGATGCTTCCCCGAAATGTTCAAATCGTCCTGTTTTCGGCGACCTTCCCCGCTCACGTCTACCGCTATGCGGGCAAGTTTGCCCCTGCCGCAAACGAGATCACCCTCCAACACGAGGAGTTGACCGTTGAGGGCATCAAACAACTCTACATGGATTGCAGCACTGAAGAGGAGAAATATCAGAACCTCGTCCAGCTCTACGGACTCCTCACTGTCGGATCTTCAATCATTTTCGTCCGGGTAGGTATCATCTCAGATTAAGTTTGGAATATTGCTGATCGCCGTATAGACCCGTGCCTCTGCCGTTGAAATCGAGAAGCGTATGGTTGCTGAGGGTCACACTGTCGCCTCACTGACTGGTGGTGTTGAGGGATCTCAGCGTGACGCAGTCATTGATTCCTTCCGCAGCGGTGAGGCTAAGGTGCTCATCACGACCAACGTTCTCGCTCGTGGAATCGACGTCTCTACAGTGTCCTTGGTTGTAAACTACGTGAGTTCATTGTTTGTTCCCTTTCGCGTTCGAAACTAACCTTTCTCGCCTTCAGGATATTCCCGAAGAGTACTCTGGCGGTCAGCGCACCAACACACCCGACTACCAGACCTATCTGCACCGTATCGGTCGTACCGGTCGCTTTGGTCGCATTGGCGTGGCAATCTCATTTGTTTCCAACCGCAATGAGTGGGACATGCTTCGGAAGATCCAAGAGCACTTCCAGTGCGTCATCGACCGCATTGATACTAGCGACTGGGATGAAGTGGAGGAAATGATCAAGAAGACTATCAAGAATACGCGAGCTCAGGCCGACTTTGTCCAGACCAACTAAGCGTGCGAAACGTCGTCAGTGTCGATGTACAACATACATCCCCTTCAATCTCAATATTCTGGTTTGAACGAATCATTTCATGTTTCATGCTTTGAAGAGTGACGAAATCTCTTCTTTCTTTTTTCGCGGGCCAACAGGGGTGAGAGGAAATTAGATACCTATTTGCGCGCATGGCTGCTCCCGCAGCCCATTTCACTTCTCCTGGCCTGCATTTGCCGGATATGCCAAAAGAAGCGGCTGGCTTGAAGTCAAGGAAGTCAATTGCTATCAAAAAACAACATCTTTTTGCGTTTCGATCTGTCTGTAGATTTTCTTCCTTTCTTCCTTTCGTGTCAATCTGAATTCTTCCTGTGGCTCAATTTTTTCGGCACCTATTAATCTTTTATGTATTCAGATTCTCTTGCATCTTCCTCATCTTGTCATGGAACCAGTCTTCTGTTCAGTACATGGAGATGGGAGTTTAGCAATAATGTCAACGTAACAATCGACGCGAAGTTGAAACACGCAGATATCGTCCACCCGGCTATCGTCACAACCACCATTGCCTACAGCGACTTAGACTCCAGGTGTCAGTTCCTCGGGCTGCATCGATGCGTACGTCGGCGGCTCAGCATTCTCGGTAGGTACTAGTGCTGCCCTTGCTCAGACAGATATGATTATGCATGTTGGATTTCCCCTTTGGGCCTAGGTCTGCCTTCAGGTTCTTCTCGTGGCTCAGCTTCTTGCCAATCATTAACTTGATTGAGAGTTCATGTTCCGCAGGGTATCTCTTTTTAGGCCTAGTGCCTGAGGAGCATACAGTCCAGCCCAAGACGGCGGCAGTGAGCGAGATTAAGAGGAGCTAGTGATATCTCTCGCGGGACCATTGATGGCGTAGTATGCGCGCCTGCTTTATTTTATTTTATTTTATTTATGGTGGGTTCAACCATACCCATAGCGTTGACGAGTACCCCTTTGACGGAGGCGGATTTACAGAGGCAGACCTATACAGTCTGATTGTCCGCCCACGAAGCCCTTCCCTTCTGTCACGACTATATACATGAGACCACTGCGACACAACAACTCCCCTTTAAAACAGCCACTGATTAAACGCAACCCCAAAATCCATGTTATTGAACAAATCCAGGCCATCAACCTCAATCATCGGATCAAAGTCAAAAGCAGAAGTATCATCAAGGTTCGAATCCGGAAGAATTGACTGCGGCTCCAGAATCTCGTCAATGATCCTAGAAAACAGCTGACTGGCCCGTTGAAAGAGAGCATAGTTGGCATTATCCGGCCGAACGATAGATTCGAGATGCGAAATAAAGACACTCAAATTGCGGATAAGTGCCGATCTGGACCCTTCGTAGAGGAACGGCTCCCCTGTGCGTTTTTGGTGTTGCAGGGCTTTGATGAGTAGACTAGCGCTGGGAAAGCCATAGAGCAGGACCTGCCATTCACTTAGTATAAAAATAGGTAGAAGTAGACTTTTTCTAGATAGTACGTACCGTCCACGCAAAGTCTGGCCGGAGATCAATCATTTGTTCGCGTTGCATGCCCAATGTCAGGACGGTTGATAATATGTCAGCGCTCACGGCGAGCAGTGCTGTGTTTCCGCGCGGGTTATTCTTCCCGGCGATGAGTCTCTGGATGAGGAAGTCATTGTACAGGTATGCCAGATATGAAATAATCATCATGAGGCATACTGCTATGTGTAAATTTTGATCCCAACATTGTGGGCTGTAGCGTAGACAACTGGGGAGCGAATCCCATGCTAGATGGCATCGCTGCGAGATATTCCTGTATGGTATCAGCTGCTGAACATAAGTAGAAAGAAAGGGATGATCTACTTGAGCATATTTTCCATCTCGGGTGTCACGTTCTGCAAAGAGACCTCAAGAATCTCATCCCGAAATGTACTGATGATAAATCGTACTCGTATCCACGATGACCGCTGGACTACTCCGTGGCGACTCCAGCCATTTTCGTCAATGTAGTCGTGAGAGTAATTTAATACCTTGTTATCGGTAGCGAGTGCCTCATCGCTGATATCAAGGGGCATGCGACAATCGGCGTATCGCCATGGTATTCTTGGCGGTCGACCTAAGAATGTGGCAATGCTCTTGTCAAGCTGATATGCTGCAGCGAATTGGCGTCTACGTGACTCTAAGAGAAACTCGGGTAGATCACTCGGTGTCCTGGAATCACGGTGGAGACCGAGTGCGAAGATGTCGGTGGAAAGCTCGCCTAGTCGCTTCCAACAGGCAGGGCCTAGAAGGTGTTAGGAAAGGCAAGTCGGCGGATGGAATGGGTGAACGAACTTGAGTCGCCATGTACTATATCCGACAACAGGAGAATCTCATGCACCAGCCATATTGTTAGATCATTGAGTGGCGTAAGGATTTTGCAAATGTGGAGTGCGGCATCGCTAGCTGCAAGCATTTTATGCGCATATTGAGATCGCGAGGTTCGATCGTCATCGAACCTGTCACTAGCGAGCCCCAAATATCTTGCTCGACCGGCGAGAGCGCAGAGAAGTCCAATAATCTCAAGGCGGATTGCAGGACCCGTAAATAGCGTATGGAAGTCTCGCCCTTGCGTGGTGGGCGGAACCTCGAAAATCTCAACTGTGTTTTGTATTATGCGCACCGTCAGTGAGGATGTGAAATCAGCAAGATTACGGTCTGATATGTTCTCTTTGCACATGGACCCGACCGGACCAAGGCTGTTGAGCACGAATGGCGCTGCTATAATAGCGCTCTGGCTTAGTGCATAATAATCGCGGATTAGGGCCTCAATTTTGGCAAAATCGTTGAGTATCAATAGAATTTCGGAGATCTTGTGGACCCAGTATGGTGGCAGGACTCTCTGGGAAGATTCGCTCTCCAGGCCCAGACCCTGACCTTCCGAGCCCAAGTCGACATCCTCGGTTAGGGGGGATACGAAGCTCGTGGGGCCGAAGTACCCAGAAAGCAGTGGTTGAGTACGGGCTGTGCGCCCAGAAGAGCTCTCTTGTCCCGCATTAGACACGTCGGCGTTGAGTGATGTCTCGCTTGAATGAGGGTTCCTGGGAAACAGCAATTATAAGAGCCTGATATTATATGGATTTTGCTACGGAAGCGCATTGGGGACGGTAATTGACTAGGAATTCAATGATGTAAAACGAAAATGATATCAAAAAGTTGAATTTATTGACACACCTTGTTGATGGAGGTCGATCAAAGGGAACTCCCTCTGCCAATGGGAAGACACGCCGACCCTTGGCCCTCGTCAGGGGAGCGGGGTGATAGTAACATCGCGTGGAGAGCCCACGGTCTTTACAGCGAGTACATACAGGTAATGCATGGTCGCAGCGGACTTTGTCTCTACGACATGGCTCGCAGGAGGCTGGCTTGCCATTCCGACGACGCGAGGTACTGTGAGTATACGTAGTTAGCGGGCGGCATTGAAATACGAACCGAAATCACTTACCTCATGGGGAAATACAGGCAGTTCTGCCCTGAGGTACATATATGTGGTGACCAAGACAAAATGCAGTAATCCAGGGAATTTCGGTGTTTGCTAACTCCGACCAGTTAAATTGAAGCCGAAGAACTCCGGTGGAAACCGGTGGGGACAGCTAGTAATAGTATATATATACCGCTATTCTATGTGTACACGATACTACATTATAATCAAAGCCAATTAATACAAAGAACTATATAAGCACATGCACACATCCATAGTGCCCCCTTTGTATGCAGATAAGCCCCTCAGATAACGTGAGGAGAAAGATAAGTCACATGCTGTACTTCCCCTCCCCCAGGGCTCTTTCTCCCCTTTCTCCCCTTCTTTTCTTGTAGACTCTCCTCAAATTCTTGCTTCATTACCTTGGAGCATCTCTTCTCTACGTAACCATGTTGAAAACAGAACCCGCCACCGTCTTGCCCGCACAAGCGGAACCATCCCCAACTCCCCCCACGGAGCCCACTCCCAGATACAGCAACCATATAATCGTGAGGAAGATCAGGTATGTGCTGTTTTGAATGTTCGTATGATACTAATATCAAGTATAGTTGACTACTTACCCCGGCCAGAGCGGCATTGAGCCCGTCCCCCTTGAGTGGGGCGCTCCCGACGCCAAATCCCGGGGTCCGATAGTTGTATCCCGCAGCGGAAACCTCGTCAAGCGCCGCAATGCCATCGGTGCCCACGGTGGTAGTTACAGCATCTACAATGCCCTTGCCATTGCCGCTGGCGACTTGGACGCGGATTTCCGACCGGACTTCCGTAACTCTGAGCCGACTTTCAATTTTCCCCCGCAGCCTGCCTGGGCGGATAAGAAAAAGATCGTCTCTCTGGACCCTTATGGCCATGACATCGTCAACCAGTTCAAGGCAGAGCTGGAGGCTGGATGGGATATCCGCCCAACTATGGCGGTCACTCGGGCTAACATGAAACTTGCGGAGATCGCAGATGATGTGAAGAATGGACTGCTCGAGGTGGACGGGTCTATTCTTGTTAATTCATCCGGCGAAGTTCGTGTGACTAAGGTAGCAGCCGAGCCTGTCTGGTATCTTCCCGGTGTGGCAGAGCGATTTGGGGTTGACGAAGGCACCCTTCGTCGGACTTTGTTCGAGCATACTGGTGGAAGCTATCCCGAGCTTATCACTCGGCCTGACCTGGAAACCTTCTTGCCACCAATCGGAGGCCTCACCGTGTACATCTTCGGCCCACCGGACCGGATCGCAGACGAGAATGTCAAGCTGGCTCTGCGCGTCCACGATGAGTGCAATGGCAGTGATGTCTTCCAGTCAGATATCTGTACCTGTCGACCATACTTGGCGTTCGGTATTCGCGAAGCAATCCGAGAGGCACAGAATGGCGGCAGTGGTGTGGTCATCTACTTCCGCAAGGAAGGTCGAGCCCTTGGAGAAGTGATTAAGTATCTTGTCTATAATGCGCGCAAGCGCGGAGGTGACACCGCCGATAAATATTTCACTCGTACAGAGAATATTGCCGGTGTCCGCGACGTAAGGATCCTCGTCACCTGACGTGGCTTGTATATACTGACTTCGTCCACTGCAGATGCGATTCCAAGCTCTTATGCCCGATATTCTGCACTGGCTCGGTATCACGAAGATCGATCGCATGTTGTCAATGTCGAACATGAAGCACGACGCTATCGTGGACTCTGGTATCAAGATTATCGAGCGTATCCCTATCCCCGACGAGATGATCCCTAGTGATTCAAGGGTTGAGATCGATGCCAAAATCCAATCGGGATACTTCACTACCGGCAAGCAGCTGACGGATGAAGAACTGGCTCAAGTCCGTGGACGCGGCTGGGAGAAATGGGAAGACATTTCGGTAAGTTGAGCTGCCTCCTTGGACATATAAGGTTAGACTCGCGTGGCTGATATCCCCTGAAGCACTAAATTTGGGCTTCATATTGCCTTGTCGAGATCGAAAGTCAGACTCGTCACTTCAATTTCGTTAGTTTTGGCTAGTAATTTGGTCAGTGTGATGTGTGTCTACACGTCATCGTAGAGCGCTTTGTCGCGGATTCAAGAAGCATGAATCCAGATTCAAGAGATAAATGAAGAAAAGAGATTGTTCGACTCGTTAACAGAATCCATGTCGCAGTTTGAGTGAAACAAATAGCAGTACGGAGTAGCAAATCCCAAGGTACCCACAGACATTTGGGGCACTTCCGATATTTGAACACTAGCATCCAACACAGCCCTGGGGGACCTGGTGGCTTGATCAGCGGCCGATGCGGATACTTTTCCTTCTCTTTCCCCCGCCGTATCCACGAATGGGGCACTCGGCTGGAAAACAAAAAGTCGCCTAAACGACCACTACGTCAAGTTTTACCTAGGCAGTTCACAACTACTAACTCGGGCCTGCACAACCTGATCCAGGGTCCACGCCAACCCATTATGGGTTGTAACAAATGGCATGTCAATAGCTTAGATGTAATATCAATGAGCCATCTATGAATTTCCTCTGCGTCGACCAAATACGCGGTGGCTTGGTATTCTGCGCCAGTGGGGGATGGAGAATGCGTTAGACAGGCTCAAGCCTTATGCTCCATACGAGGCCTGTGACGGAGTGAAGAAGTCGGTGAGCCAGCCGGGAATAATGAAGTACAACATATTAGTATTACCATATGGTGGTATTGAGTACATAGTCCTTATTGTAAGTAGATAAAATGGGTAAGAATGAGATCAGTCGACCGGGTCCCAACAGAAGGCAGCCCATGGAAGTGAATGGATCTTCAAGAACTAGAGAATCATGAGGCAGGATGGATAATGTCCAAAGCATAAGACAGACCTTTTTAGAATGCCTGTCACAACGTGGTCGCGAGAGCCGAGTGCTTCTGTTAATGTAAATCGACGTGGACTAGGACAGCGGGTTCAAGATCCACACAGCCTGCTCCATATGTTCTATGGAGTACCGTTGATCCCATTCGCTTCTGGCGCCGTTCCACTGCGCTCCGGTTACCGGCGAGGCAGGAGTGGAGACTAGCACGATCAGATAAGATCATAACACGCCCAATTTTTCCCGTGTCGCCTACCTGCGGGGCGCCAAGACATCACGCGGTGACGTGTCAAGACGATCAGAGGGCGAAAAAGAGAACTTGGGCTGGCTTCATCTCAGCAACTGAATATTGAAGCCCAGGAAGGATATATAACGGAGTCGAGGAGGAAATGTGAAAGAGCGAAGCTCCGAAATCACATGCCCACGAAGGCACCTGCGGCCTTGGAGATGGGTAAAGTGGGTATAGCCAGAACGAATGAAAATTGGCTATTTATTACAGTAATGAAAAATTAATTACTATGTTACAAGTCCAAATAGTCATGACTCAGCGTAATTAACAACCCGGATACGGTCAGGGGTGACCGGCGAGCCGGAAGTGCGGCCAGCCGCGATCATACGACGAGACTGCCTTCCATTCGGCTGCCTGGGCTGATGTATTCTGGTCCATACAACGACCCCCGATCTTCATGCATGGAGACTGGAAGCTCGATCACAGTTTGAAGCAATAGCTCGTATCTGTCTCTTGCCATTAAGTTGTTTCCATTCTCAAGGGCTGCCCAGGTGATCCACCTTCGCTCTATCGCTCGGGGATCACCTTTGCGCCACGGACTTTAGAACTCACCTGGTTCCTTGGGCCTAATTGCTTCCACTACGTCTTTTTCATGTGGGTATCTTGCACACCCCTGCTTTCTGCTCCTCCAATCGCTAGCACCGCCCGTGACTGTGACTCTCACATTCCCCTCCTCGCAATTCAGTCTTTGCATCTCACTTTGCACAAAGCGCGGAGTACATTCACGTCTGTTAAGCTCCATTGATTTGAGTTCGAGTGTTACATTTGAAGTTGAACCCAGTCAGTATCATCTATCTCCTTGCTGATGTCATGGGATCGCAGCTAGCCTGTATCAAGCTGTCTGCTTTGCCTCGAATATGACTGTGCAGGCAGTTCAATTATGTTCTTTAAGGATCAGTGGCTTTTCTCCTATTACCGGAACTAACGTTTTCATCAGTGACAACTATCTAGAGTGCCCAATACATCATTCGGACTTAGACTGCCTCAGGCATTGGCCGTGAATCCGACCCTGAAATACCAGCCAAGATGTCCGCTCCCATGGAGAGTGACTTCCAGCTTTTTTCTTCACGAAACTCTGGTGGGGATGAGGCGCGAGGAAATGGTCATTCGTTCATACATCCAACCGGAGAGAATGTGAACCAGGATTGGACCCAATGGATGCGATGGGATGAGCCAATGTTCTCGGAGGGAGATCAAAAGCCAATGGCTTCATCCATAGATCTACCATCTATTTCCCCGCACACAGACATGAGTTCCCCAAGTCATTTGAACTACAAAGACTTCTCGCCTAATCTTCCGCTCGGCTTGATGGAAATTCCATCCGAGTCCAATTCCGGGAACAACATTGGCTACACTCACAGCCTGCCTGCACAAGATTGCCACACGACCCAGGAGCAACATTTAGGCCTGGTGTCTCCAATCTCAAGTGTTGGGACAAGCCGGAAGCGAAAGACGGGTAGCGATGACGATGCCACCACAGCGACTGGACCAGTGCAACCGGGCAAGAAAATGCCCGCTAAAAAGCGAGCTCACAACGTCATTGAGAAGCGGTATCGCGCCAACTTGAACGATAAAATCGCCGAACTTCGCGACAGTGTTCCCAGCCTTCGGTCGACCAAGAACCCGAATGGAGGCTCAGCCGATGATGACGACGAAGCGGAGGGAGCAAATGCTGCGAACAAGCTCAACAAAGCATCCATTTTGTCAAAAGCGACGGAGTACATCAAGCATTTGGAAATTCGTAACCAACGTTTGGAGGACGAAAATACTGATTTGAAGAACCGGCTCCGCCAGGCTGATAAAGCAGCAGATCAGGCCGCCACATCCTCAGCCTCTGTGTCCTCACCCAGCAACTACGCCTCGACGGACTCGGGCTCTGGTGCATCACCTAGTGTGTTTTCTCAGGCGGAAGAGGTGTCCAGCGAGAGTTCACCCACCTCTCACAACCCCCCAGAAGGCCTCATTCCGGTTTCAGATGCGTGGAAACGTATGCGAGCTGAAACTGCAAAGCAAGGAGTCTTTGTCGAATCCTATATCAAATACCCCTCGTCATCATCCTCACCCCTTCAACCGCAGTATGCGAGAGAAGATCCCTCCGGTCGACGTTCAAGGATGATGCCCAACAAGTATATGCTGGGTGCCCTTGCCGGTCTGATGGTTCTTGAGGGTATGGGCTCTGACGGTGCCGAGTCCGAGTCGAAGGGCCTGTTTGCACTTCCCACCAGGCTTCTCAGCCGTTTACAAACACCCACACTGGCACACTGGGAATTCTACCTGAAGCAGTTCTGGTACTCGTGGCAGGCGCGTGCATTTTCTCATTTCCTCATGCTAGCAACGCTGGTCGTTGGTAGTGCCTTTATTGTTTTTGTCTACTTGTTCAATGCGCAGCCCATCACGCGGCGCGGCCCATCCAAATCGGCTTCTGAGGGCCCGACTGCGCCTCTTACGTCTAGTGATTTCCGTCGGCAGGCTTGGCTGACTAGCATGCAACGGGTCGGTGTTCCGCGTCATAGGTTCTTCCGAGAGTGGTATGTTGTCACTTCAAGATGCTTTGAATATGTCTTACGGTGCTTCATGGGATGGAAACTCTACTCATGGGCCACCGGAATCACCGAGGAGGACGAGAAGGGGCGAGTCAAGACTTGGGATATCGCAATTGATGCTCAACTCACTGGTGGAGATGCTGAGATCAGCAAGAGCCGCTTGGTGCTCACTATCTTCGCCGCCGGCACACTCCCCTGTACTCCCACAAGAATGATAATCAAGGCCCTGCATGTCCGCATTCTCTTGTGGAACGTCGGAGAGCCGGGCTCCTGGTCGTTCCATGTGTCGAACGACATTGCGCGAGCTCTTGCCAGATTCCAGTGGGGCGTGGCTCGAGAACTCAATGCTGCCCTGCCTGATGGTCACCCTGATAAGCTTGCCCCTCATCTCGCTGCCCTGATCAAGCTAGATTGCGAGGACGTCATGATCGACAACATCATTCAACGCGCTGTGAACCTGACCTGGAACCGTCCAACCCAGGAAGGCACTGGCGACGACGAAGTGCTGCTTGATGTTGTGGACGAGGACCCGGCTATCCAATGTTCCCAAGACGCACTTGCAGCTTGGTGGTCCAGTCATCTTTTGCAAACCGCTCTTCTCAACTATTTCGAAGCGAGCGAGAAGGGCCCGGTGTCTAAGGCAAGCCGTGATGCATTCAAAGAGAAGATTCGTATGTCTCTTGATGTGGCGCCAGTGCTTTCCGCCGCGTGTACTCGGGCACTCGTGATGAAAGCAGTATTCTTCGAACAAAACCGCATTGAAAATGTTGGCGCAGTTCTTGCTGCGCTGCCGAAAGAGAAGAGAAAGGGAAGTCAGAGCCACTCATCAAACTTCCTTGATTCCTCTCTGCCGGTTTCCGTGCGGGACGAAATCTCCATTGCCGTGCGCTGTGCTATGATTGCCACCATTGTCACCGAACGATCCACAGGTGACGCCTCCTCACTACCTGAGTCCTTCACTATTCAAAAGGCCATCACTTGGTTCAATCAGCTTCCGATTGATCCAGTCGAGCTTTCTCTCATTGGGTTCTCGTCTGTCTATCACCTCCTACACCTCCTCGCCTCTGATGTGGATTATATCGCGTCATCCGACTCATCCTCCCCTTCGACTCCAGTCTCAGAGGCGGCTACCTCCTCTGCAGACGACGAAGCCGAACAAAGGCCCCGTCCGACCCGCAAGGTCTCCATCTGCGCCCGCGACATCCCCAATCTCGGGCGGGTATCAGCAGAACTCATCTATTGGGCCCGAAATGCCTACACCCCGGCTTTCTACGGCTTTTCCTCTACTCTTGTAGAAGTGATCGTCAATTCCTGCACAGAAATTTGCCAAAACGCAGGCATCAATGTCGATGACTTTGTGCACACCGCACCTGACAGGGCTCTATCTAAGAAACGCAGGGCCCGTCGGCGCAGGGGAGAATCCCTGTCATCTCAAAGCGACGCCGATCAAGACCTAGTTGATCATCCTGTCCAAAGACCGTTTCTCCGCCGGGAACGATCAGCTAGCAACGACACTGGTTATGGCAGCCTCTCTGTTGAGGAAGATGAACAGCCAGTACCCCATGCCCCTCCCATTGTGCAGGAGGTGTCGTCCGGCTGAGAAGCACGGTTCTGACTTATGTAAACCCAATAATGACGGCGTTTTCGGCTTTTGTATTTCTAGTTTGGTTATGGTCAAGGAATTTTGGTCATGATGAAAAGAGGGGGGAATGGAATGGTATCAGGAGTAGCATATTTGTGCAGGCCTTCGCGCCAATTAGAATGTCATCATCACAACTATCAATAAACTCACATACTTGAAAACTAACGGACACCATAGTCACCCATAGAGGTCCAGCAGTGAGAATGGCACATGGTCCGTGCTCAATATTCAAGTTTATTTCCGGTGAAATCACACTGTTTTGGTTTTGAAATAATCTACATCTTTCATATCATCCCGTTTTAGTGCATGTATGCATTCTTGTGGTATTTATGTATAGAGCAATCTAGACCCCGGGCATATCGGGATGTAACAGAAGTACTCCAAAAAAAAAGGGCATTGATTACTTAACCTCGCCTTTCGGCTCCGAGGGCTTCCCGACGTCTTTTTTGATTTACCTTATAGGTGGCAAACTGGTTCGAAAAATCATCTCAAGGGGTTCCATAACTCAGTTGGTTAGAGTGTGGTGCTAATAACGCCAAAGTCGAGGGTTCGACCCCCTCTGGAACCACGTTTCTTTTTTAGCTTTTTGGTTCTTATTTATATCTTCCCGCTCATTTTAATGATGGATACTAGGCTAGGGCAGATGGGGGAGGAAGTATTCGAGCTCTATCTTTCCCATTGTGTGACATACTTGGTTTTCCTGGGCCGACATTTCACCTGTCTCATCATTTTTGCTGTCCATCTAATCCAAGGCACCAGGCCCGCTGCGACAACCCGTTTCGGGCAGTCGTGAAGCGAAATGCTTAGCGGTGCTTGCGAGAGACTTGGCTCAATGGAGCTCGTTGGCCTGAAAGCCAAGTGAAGTCGTTTGGTAATTGTCTCCATCTGGTGTCGTTCTATACACACGGACCCCTACCTAGAATTTGTCGAGCCAATTCTGAAGTCTTTGCGCCTCCGACTCTTACTACAGTGTACTATGGCGTCATATATACAAGGTTTTAGGACGTTGCGACGCTACAGTTTCCACCTCGAACTTGAGCATTGTCTCTAACGTTGCAGTTGCATCCCATTGGACCGAGTATCTGAGGCTCGAGTCCACGTTAAGCGTCTTGATATTGAGGGTTCTAACAATTGCTTTGCAGATATCAAGCAAAATCAGTCCAATCCAGGAACCAAAATGATTATTCTCAATTTCCTCTTCTCTTTGTTCTTGTCCCGTAACCGATTGGGGACGAGGAATGCTGAGTGACAGGTATCAACATTCCGTTTTCGGCTTGCCGAGCAAGGACTGCGTCTATAGGGCGTTCCCTCACCTGCAAAGATGACTCGGTCCGCCACATTATCATGAGGTCCACATGCCCTTCGATTTAGTCATGACCGGGCAATTCCTAGAGATTTGAAGTTCTTCACCACTCAGCCGAGCAGATCATCTCCACTCGAAATAAACTCAGCATACCAAGATCCACCTCGATTCGACGTTACACTGACCATGTGAGACACAATTATCTACGGCCGTGTAAACGTGAGGGTTCCGCCAAAAAATAAACTTGCGGGACCTGTGTCAATGACGGCATGTGTCTATGGCTGGTTTAGGAATTAATACAACGCCAATGATGCCCACGTCCTACTTCTTTTCTACGCGACCCCAGTACCTTTTATAACACAACTCCGAACCTTGTGTTCTCGCCCTTTCTCGGTCTTGGGTCCTTTGAGGATTGAATAATCTATGTTCATTGTGGTTGACGGTCTCCATACCTAGTGGATCTGCAGCTCGAGCCCCCCTTGCCTATTGAATGGCACTATGGGCGTCGAACTCAAAGGAAATGGCCCGGGGGAGCCGCCTATGAACCCCACGATTGCAGTCCCTCTGTTCGTGGTCGGCGGACTGGTGATATTTTTATTTGTCTGGCAAACCGCCATTCGCATCCGACATCGTCGACGATTAAAAGCGGCACAGCAAGGAACCGACCAGACGCAGCTGTGCCGGACAAATCGCTCCAATGCGGCCCTGAAAAAGCATTTGCTATATGCTCCGATATGGGGCAATCGCCATAGCCGCGAATTCCGGTTCTTCAGGCTTCATATGGGGTCCCTACCGCTACGACTGGAAATCATTTGCCTGTTGGTCTATCTCAGCTTGAACATAATTTTCATTATCGTGACGGTCGATTGGTGGATCGGCGATTACTCGGAGAAGATGTTCCAACTCAAATACTCCGCGGGCCACCTGGCGGTCATGAACACGCCAGGCTTGGTCTTAGGCGCAGGACGAAACAATCCGTTGGTCCAGCTGTTGGGTATCTCGTTCGATACGTTCAATTTCATGCATCGTTGGGTGGGACGTGTGATCGCAGCCAACGCAGTCATTCACATGAGCGCCGTGCTAGCCGACCAAGCTTATATACGTGAGTTGCCTTGACCATGCATGATGCAATTATTCACTAACATCGAATTTTCGAACTTAGATAGCACGGACTATATTCTATATATTATGTGGCAACAGAAGCTTTATATATGCGGCCTTCTGGTATGTGATGCAGTCCACCAGCTCTGCGGATGGTCATCTAACATATATGTCCATAGGCCATCCTCGGATTCCTTTGCATCTTTATTCAATCACTGTCGCCGGCCCGACATGCATTTTACGAACTATTCCTTCACCTACACATAGCCCTTGCCATCCTTTCCTTCGTGGCGCTTTGGTACCACTTGCAAAACCTGTTGCAACAGCGTGTGCTCCTTGGCACCTTGGTCCTCTGGGGCCTCGATCGTGCAGGTCGACTTGGAATACTACTATGGAGAAACCTTAGCTCAAGACCCACAACTGCCACAGTCGAGGTTCTGTCTGGGTCTGTTGCTCGTGTTGATGTGGCCGTGGCTCGGGCATGGCGCTTCCGTCCTGGTCAGTATATGTACCTCTACATGCCGTGTCTGGGCTTGTGGACATCACATCCCTTCACCGTTGCGTGGTCCTCGACATCGGAGTCGTTGAATATGAAGGAAAAGCGCAGCTCGGGTGACTCTTCGGACGCTCTCACCGGAGGCTCGCTGACTACAACCATGTCCGTCTTGATCAAGGGCCAAGACGGATTCACGAAGAAGTTGCTCCAGAAGGCGGAGGGCTCCCCTGAAGGACGCATTCAGGCTATGGCATTGGCGGAGGGGCCATTTGGTACGGATTCCATACCCTACACAGTGAGTGTTGATGATTTGAAACATATTTGTTAACATCTTACAGGTGGTATCCATTCTCTCTCCTCATATGGTACTTTACTGTTGATAGCTGGGGGAATCGGCATTACCCACCCTATGTCATATTTGAATGAGGTGATCGCCACGTTCACCGAGCAAAAGACAGCTACTCGCAAGCTTCATCTGGTCTGGATCGTCCGCAGTCTAGGTATGATCACTCCACCTGTTACATATAATTGACCACTGACATATGGAAAGACCATCTCACTTGGATTCAAACATTCATGACGGAAATACTAGGCCATGAATCCCTAACTAGCCCAAGAAACCCGAACGGGCACTCCTACTTCCAATTTCCACGGCTTCTCCTTTCCATCAGCCTCCACATCACATCACATAAAGACACAGTCGAGGAATACATCCCACAGCCGGATTTGCCGTGGATGCAATGCGCTCCGGCAAGCATTCCGGTCAGCATCCACCACGGCAAGCCGTGTATCCAATCCGTGCTAGAAAAAGAAAAGGCAGATCAGATCGGTGCGATGGCGGTTAGCGTCTGCGGTCCTGGTGGCCTGGGCGATAGTGTGCGGGAGGCTGTCAGGAATGTACAAGGGGAGAAGACGGTTGATCTCTTTGAAGAGACGTTCTCATGGTAGGTTACTTGTATTTCTGAGTATGTGATGTGATTGATTGAGGCTCTGGGGGTTTGGCGTTGTTTTTCTATATATACAGTTTGAGCTGAGCTCTATATCAATACCCTCTGTGAGGTTTTTAAGAATCGGTCCTATATCTAGTTCAAATGTATGTTTTCGACCAGTAAACTGATCTAGGCCGGTGCGATACCAGATGGGTGGTGTGTTAACGCTTTGTTTACTAGGCCTCAAATAACTACTTAACTAACCTCAGTTGTTAGTAGAGAATATATATTCCTTTTTCTTTCCTCTGTCCACATACATCCTAGACATTTTATCTACACGTTCGTCCTCCAAGCTCCAAGGCTACCTTTTCACCTACTTAGGGTTTGATCAACCGCAAATCATTGCCGGTCGCAGAGATACCCCCCCCCCCCCCACCATTCAAGAAATCCCACGAACTCTCTATTCCATGTTAAAAGCATCGAAAAAGCTTAGCTGGATGTCGTTTCATTGTTCATTACACACTCTATTTTCGATAGAGCACGGTCTATCAAGTCTTCCACGAGTTCCTGGCCAGACGTGCAGGCAGCCTTCGCATCACGAAGGCCTTCCACCCATATATCCCATCTTTCGCGTTCAAAGCCCTTCCAACCGCGTTTTGAATACATTTCTCCAGGCCGACCATCATACTTGTTGTATCTGCGGCAGTTGAGTACATTTTCCCACAATCTATCGCCGGCACAAACTACCCAGTAGCACACGCCGAGCAGGCCAGCCGTAGAGGCAAGCTGTTCGGAAGGAATGCCCTCTTCGAACACATGACGAAGTCCGCAAAGTGCCATGTGAGATTCATCCATAGCATCGCTGATCCACACTTGCAACGGGGAAGTGTATTCAACATCGGCAGCTTGGGTCACTTGCGCGAGAAAGATATTCAGCTTTGCCCATCTGATCTGCTGATCAGGCTCCATATCCGGGTCACAGATGTCTAACGATTCAATTAGTGCTACAGAAGGGGAAATAAAAAGTACAGACTCCATGTCGCTTACGTGTCATCCGGTCATTCCATAATTCGCGGGCGCAGAAAGTGAGCGATGGTAGATGCGACCATACTCTGCTTCCATCTTGTGTTTTTAGGACCAGTCCAGTCGACGAATCGACGGCATTGTACAGCTTCAATTCTCCCAGGAACTCAACCAATGGTCCGTACTGGGTTGTATCGATTTGCATAGCCAGCTCAATGATAGCTATGAATGTTATTGCGTCGGCCTTCTCGATTGTTCCTCCTGGACCGTAGTTTTCCAGTCTGTCCATCGTCGTGTTTATGACCCATTGTACTGCATCCTCAACTTCAACTTCTCCGTCGACAAGCGCCGCGAATAACTTGAACTCCTTGGACTCCTCGGCCTGCGCGAGCTTGAGCATCTCATCGCATGACATGACGAATGTTGGCAAAACTTCGAGTCAAGTTTTGAAATTTCTAGTGGGAAACTATTGTTGCTGGCTAGCGTGGCGTACTTAGGGCTAAGCGGCAAAAAAGTGAAACCATCAGGACGGAAGGACCGATAGAGTTTACGTTCCGATGTGGGTTTTTGGTGATATACAATAACAGCTGCTACTTATAACGGAACAATTGAGACACGGGAAAGTAGTCGTCATACTTATATACATGGATGGGTTACATGTGAATTTATAAGCATCGGACTGCGCCTTCCTTATTTATAAAGGCCGCTCATTCCTCTACAAGCTTTACAATTGACCGATTTTCATTCCGAGACGAAGGGCTAGACTCGCCACTACTCTCGGAGAGACCTACCAGTGAGGTGGGCCAAGCTTCTAAGTGGTCATCGTGCCAAGCTAACACACCTATTAGTGCGCCCCACTGGATAAATTGCAAGGATTATGTATCTTTTGTATACTCCATACAAAAGGTAGATAAACACAACATGAGTGTAATATGTTCTCCTAGAAATACCTACATATGGGAAAACAAGAAGATATACATGTAACCTTGGAAATAAGTCTAGTTACATCCATACACAATCAACCATGGTAGGAAGTCCCAAGTGTCACCTAAAGTAAGTTAAACTTTTACGTCCAACGTCTATGTGGCTTTTTCTTTATACTTCTAGATCGTATAAGTAGGATCAGTATTACCACGTAGTAGATTGATTAAAGTACACTTATATAAATTAATTTTCATTTTCCCTTCAGCTAGTTCGAGACTCGAGTCATGCTCATGTTGTGTTATGTACCTTTTGTATGGCGTTGCTATACAAAAGATACCTAATGCTCACAATTGCGGGCGGCACTTAAAGGTTTGGACTTGGCACGATGACGAATGTCACCAAAGAATTTCGATTGGTCGAAATTGGCTGTCTCAGCTTTGGGGGCCATATCACATTTGTGTTAGGAACGGGAAATTTTCATTACGGCAAATCAGAAGAAGCACCGGTCTCCAATTGTGAAGACTAGGTATTCGCTATACGCGGGTTCGTTATAAATGGGTTTTACTGTAGTGAATGCTGAATATAATACAAAGTGCAGAGTAAAGCAATCCTGATAAGGCGTGAATACTAAGGCTGTAGGTGGATCAAAAATCGGGTATTGCCCGGGTCTTGCCGCTCTCCAGGGCTGGCGTTCTAGATTAGTAAAGGTGTTACTGATATCCATGGATCTTTGATATATAGTAGCGGGCCACCATCACATAGTAGTAAGAACGATAGAGCTCTCTCTATTATTCAACTAATATGTGATGATGGCTCGCTACTATATATCAAAGATATCACAAGTGCAAAAGGCGCTTGGGGGGATAAACTCCAAGAAATATAGCATGTAAGGAATACCAGTAAGTAAGGGATATGGTATGTTTACATTCCTTAGGGACCTTGGAATATACCCCTAGATTACTAGTACTTCTTAAAGGGGGGACCCTACTGAGCTGTCGGAGGGCCCCCTTGATCCGTAGTCACTCCCTGGGGGGAGCTCGGCCTTCAAATCATAGTTAAAGGCGGTGCTGTCTATCAAATGCATATTTGCAGGGAACTTCGCATCTCCACTCCGCGTACATATCTATCCCAAGCACCGAAAGGGAAAGGGAAACAAAAGTAAAAAGACAACATGGAGAGGACGATATGAATTAAACCATCACTGTTCAGTTTGAACCACTCTGTGCAACGGCCCATTGGAAAAGTTCCGCGATCGAGTTGCTTACGGCAGCCGTCCTAGGAATTTCATGCCCACCGCCATGATCATAGGTGCGACGTTTCGTTGGTTCGCAGATACCGGAGAGGTGCACACCAGCCGCCCACCGAGGATCTTTGGAGCCGTAGATATGTACTGTGGGAACATTGATACGGTAGGGGCTAGTAATCTCGTTCCGCAATTCGTCCTCCGAGAGCCCGCTGCCTAGAGTCTTGAGACCAGTCCACCTATTCCCGCCTTGGGCCAGGAGCGCGGATGAGTTAGCTTGTTGAGCTAGCGCAGACCGGGATGCAAGATCACGCTCGCGCGCCTCAGCAGAAACATGGAAGCCCATCTCCTCAAGAACACTCAACGAGGCTCCACCGCAGACAAAAATAGCCGCTTTGAACGGCGGCGGGAGATGGGGCGTCTCTTCCTGATGGAAGAGAAGAGCACTAGAGCCCAGGACGCAGCCTTGTGAAAACATAAGCGCGAGGTCGTAGGGGCCATTTTTGGCGATATGGTCAGTCAGCCAGTTGTAGGTGGCTCGGACGGAGTCGACGCTATCATTTTCCCAAAAGGAGTAGTACGGCGGGCTGTAGAAGATATCTACACCTGCAGCGGCATCACTTCTAAATGGGCCGTCGATAAAATCAAATTGTATGTCGTCGGGCAGTTTGGCGCGGAATGTGGCTGGGTGGAGATTAGTTGTCTTGGAAGATGTGTGGACTGCGGGGTGGCTAACAAATTTGGGAGCGGAAGATAGAGCCACTGGTCCCCTTGCCGTGAAGACAAAGCACCTTCATGGCTGATCAGGTTATGCTGGTTGGCGTCAAAATATGAGTTCGGGAGGAATTCGGTCGAGTTTGGAGGGGTTAGGTATGCAGATAAGCACTAACCGACTTGACCCCGCGATATGCCGATTCAGGACGACTTGTTTTGAACAGAGGTCAAAAGACGTCAAATGCGTTGGTTTGGACTCGAATGACAAGATATAGGTCTGACAATTATTCTCAAATTGTGTGAACCCTGATTTTGCTCCCAGTCTTGGCTGATACCCCTTGCGCCGGCTAGGCGGGGAACCTGATTTGTACCTCATACAGTCATATACTGGCACGTCAGACATTCTTGGGCATTAAAATGAACAGAATAGAAATCTTGAAGAGTAGACTGAGAGATTTTATGGCCGTCATCGGTTGGTAGTAGTCTGTATGCCGGTTTGCTCCGTATACCAACCTTGGAAGCCTGGGATATATGGCAGTGAGAATATGATATCAGTCTCCTCTGGGCATATTCCCAGACTTTCTGGCACTTGATTTCTGGATCGTATTGCATCATCTACTGACATTTGACAGCAAAGCTCGTTGAATATGTCATTGTGGGCGAAAATGTTACCTTCGGAAAATCGACCATTCGCCTGTCAGGAATAGACCTTTGGAATACGGTATGGAAGATATGCAGTCATGCCTTTTCCATAAATCTGCAAAAGCTACGAAAGTCCTTGGCTTCAGTTGAATGGTCGACACAATATGGACACTTTAAGTGTGTCAAAGTCTTGGCTGCATGACTCGTGTTTATGTCAATGACCCTTGGTGTGCAATATTGAAAATCGGTCAAGGGACTAAATCAAGGCCCAGAGTATGCAGAAGGAGTATCGTTGGGGCCTATTTTTCAGAGTGAATCGAAAGATGCCCAATGTCATGGTTTTCTCCTCGTGATAAAGGCTGTGCAGCGCATTGATCTGTGGCACAAGTAAATATAAAACGAACTGTTCCAGGGACAACGCTGTTCATAAACTGTTAAGGCGGATAGATTGAGACGGAGTCGGTGCAATATTTGTGACGATCCCAAGAAAGTGGATATTCGGTGGATGTGGCAGTGGATTCCCTTTGGGTTTCGTCATACTTCCAATTTGTAATCAACATGTATTGAACTATTCAACTATTTAATACTCTATATCGTCTATTCTCCCCACTTCTCAATTCCATTTCCTACATCACCATCACACTATCCATCATGAAGGCAGTCATCATCACCCAGCCCAAGACTGAGGGCCTGGTCACCGATCGACCCTTCCCCAAGCTTCGCGATGACTATCTTCTCGTCAAGACCGTCAGTGTGGGTTTGAACCCCACTGACTGGAAGCACGTTGCTTTCATTTCCCCTCCTGGTGTTCTTGTCGGATGCGACTATGCAGGCATTGTCGAGGCCGTCGGCAAGGATGTCAAGAAGCAGTTCAACAAGGGTGACCGCGTGTGTGGATTCGCGCACGGCTCCAATGCAGTGCAGCCTGAGGATGGCACTTTTGCTGAATACATCGTCGTCAAGGGCAATGTGCAGTGGAAGATACCGGAAACCATGAGCTTCCAAGAGGCCGCCACCCTCGGAGTGGGCATCAACACCGTGGGCCAGGGCCTGTACCAGAGTCTGAAGCTTGCACTGCCCACAGAGCCCATCAAGGATGCGACCCCGATTCTCATTTACGGCGGCTCCACCGCGACCGGCACCCTGGCTATCCAATTTGCCAAGCTGTCGGGCTACAAGGTCCTGACCACTTGCTCGCCGCATAACTTCGATTTGGTCCGCAGCCTTGGCGCCGATGATGTCTATGACTACAAGGACGCCCAGGCCGCCGCTAAAATTCGCAATGCCACTGATAACAACCTGAAGCTCGTATTCGACTGTATCTCGCTCGAGTCCAGCGCTGCGTTCTGTGATAATGCTATCTCCACCGATGGCGGTGAGTATAGCGCTCTGTTGAACGTCAAAATCGACCGTGCCAATGTCAACGACCGCTTCACCCTGGCTTATACCATCATTGGCGAGGCTTTCTCCTTTGGAGATACCCCATTCCCCGCCAAGCCAGAGGACAAGGCTCACGCTGAGAAGTTCATTGCCATTGCCGAGAGTCTGCTCACCCAAGGAAAGGTTAAGGTCCACCCCCCTCAGGTCGGCGAGCATGGATTGAAGGGTGTGCTCGAGGGTCTGAAGTTGCTGAAGGAGGATAAGGTCAGCGGCAAGAAGCTGGTCTACAATGTTTCCGAGACCCCCTGAATAAGACACTACTTTCTGTCAACTGGATGATTTAGAGAACCACAAAGCCACCATTTTTATTCCTATATTGTTGAACTACCGTGCGAATGTAATCCACATATCTCAAGTCATATGTTTCCCATTACTCCGTAGTTGATATTGACATTGCCAATGTAGAATCTTCATAAAACAGGCTAAGCCTGTTGAATTTTTCGTTTGTCACC